TCAAACAAAACACAGGGTGAAGGAAGCAGGATGTCTTCTCCTCAAGGTAAGTAACTGTGCTGTTGACACAATGAGACTGAGACTGATCTTAAAAGACGGAAAAGACCACAGGGACATTGTCACAGCTTTGTGATGAAGTGTGATTTTGTCTTCACAGGTGCAGCTATTGACCCTGATGCAGACTTTGTCTATGGTACCCATATCAGAAATACATATTCTAGATGCACATAATTATTCAGTTACATAAACTGTTGTAAGTTATATCTTTCATGTTATTATAGACTATTATACTCTGAGAGTTGGCGGTCTGGTGTTTGCTGGGGTCATAATATTTCTTTCCATCATTATGCTGGCAGGTAAGCTAGTGATGTGAAGTTTGGCAATAATTAAAAACTATGCGACTTTCTCTTTCTCTCTATTAATGGAAATTGTTTTTTTAGGAAACAAGATTCTGAACTGTGGCAAGTCTAAAGTAAGTGTCATTTAAAATTAGCATAACTACAAATTAGTGTATTATAAAGGACCAGTAAAGGTCACTGTACGTCCATGACTATTATATGACCCAGCTTTTCTTTTTCTGTCACCATGAAGCCAAGACCTGTAGAAGAAGACTGAAACAAACTTGATTCATCCACTATGGTCAACCTTTACCACCACCATTTGTAAAATATTGTTTTATTTGTTCGTGAAAGTGCATGAAACAAAAAAATGTCTGAACTTTTCCAAACTAATCAAAGCTTAATATAGAAAGGACAACAAGGTGATGGACTGGGTAGCATCCCATGTTACTCAACTGTCTGTATAAAGCAGGTAGTAACCTCCTTTTCAATTATTTGTTCTTCTCAGTTCCTTTTAGTCAGTCAAGTTGTCTTTAGTCAAATGGCCATATGGTTCCTTTTTTGTTGTTATCTGGATCACAAATTATGGTGAGGTGGATCCCAGTGCTCTGGATCATGTGCTGGTCCCTGAAGGCGGTGGTCCAGGTAAGGCAGCAGGCAGTGGGTACTTAAAAAATGTGGTCTCTCACAATAATAAAAAACCTGCATCATATAGACCAGGCATGTCAAACTCAGGCCCGTGGGCCGTGGAATGATTTTAAATCATCTTTATCGCAGTAACTTCCAGCATCGATGGTAAGGGGCTACTATGGCATATACTGCATTATACTTAATTTTAAAGCCTGTTGTCTCAGATAAGCAACCGTATAATTGTATCTGTTCTAAAATGTTAACTAACAAGTAATTAGAATTTAGAGTTACTTCATAATCTTTTTATTTATTTTTTACTAGCAATACATCTCTTATTGATATTGGCCCAGTTGTGGTTGAATCAAAACTAGATAATCCAAACCCAAATCTATTATACCACTTTTATAATTCTGCTCTCTTCGCTTCAAATGGGGGCAGAGCAAAAACTTGATGACATACAGGGATGATTTCTTGGGAATTTATTTAGTGTGTTTGCAGTTCAGAGGTATTTTCAAATGTATTTTATTGTTATTTGGTTAGAACACTGTATGTTAATGAACACACCTCTCCGGATGGTAGCGTTGTGACTCGCACTCACAAACACAGACATTGTGAAATTTATCTTCTGTGTATTGAAATTGCGTACATCATGTCCCCTTATACATATCATTATGAAGCTAAATGGTAATGTTCCCCTTCTACAACTACTATACATTTGCCCTCATTATGTGTATCACATACTTTCTCCTTCTGAAAATCCAACCACCCATCCATTCTCTCGCGATATATCGGGAACGTAGAATGACAAGTAAATCGAGAACTTTGCCTTTCGGCTCAGCTCCCTCTTCCCAGCGACCATATCACTGCACACACTGCACTAATCCGCCTGTCAATCTCACGCTACATCATGCACTATTTAATACATTTTTTTGCTGAAGTAAATATTCACAAGAAAAATAATGGCTCATCCTTGTATATTTTTTCAAAAATAAGCATAATTGACAGAGAAAGCCTTTGGTTGGTCTCGTAATGATATGCACTAATATTATGAGCCACAAGATGGCGCCACACACCAGGACACTGTTGTGCTGCACACGTGCTCCACGCAGACCTCTCCTTTGCTGTAGTTCACCGTTTACTGAACTGGGGAAACCGGACCAACTTTTCAAGTGAGACTGTGTTTGTTAAAGTAGCTTCTTAAATGTATTTCTATGTTTTATCTTATTAAATGAAAAGCCTTTAGCGGCATATTAAAAGTGAATAAACTTAGCTCTAGTTAACTCTAAACCTGAGCGTGGAATTACCATGGATATATTTCATTATGATGGCATTAGTATTTTTATCGAAGCAAAATGACAAAGCGCATTAATCATAGCTCCAGAAAAACGCACCCAACGAATTATTCCTGCATAAAAACATCTTTACAGCCCACGACTGGCGCTGTCAGCGTCACCACTGTCATCGAGACGTGTGTGCTGAATACTCAAGCCATCGCTCCTCTATGTAGAGCAGTTCTACCGGTCAGACCTCCAGGTCCCACATCAGCCGATTTCCACGGGGGCTGAGGTAAGCATGAGAAGCACCATATCACACTGTTCACTGGGACTGATAACATCACAGTACACAAACCCAAGAACTGTCCTCATAAACTGTTTGGCCCAGAGGGTTTGTTTACAAGTGACATTACCTTCCACCACAACGGTTCTTTCACCTGACTTTTGAACTAATTAACATGAAACGATCAGCAACATACTTCAAACATATTGACATTTAAGTAACGCTACAGAAAGGCTAAACAATTGGCTGTGCCATCTTCAGATTTATAACTGCTCAGTTTGTGAGTATCAGTAATCTTTATTATTCCTTCCCAAAATAAATACATTTTTCATTCACTCCAGACAGTAAGTAAGTAAGTAGTAAGTAATCTTTATTTATATACCGCCTTTTCACTGCAGATCTGAGTCTCAAAGCGGTTTACAATTGTTAATTTTTGGGCATTAGTCTCTCACTCCACACAGAGATGGGAGCGGGGTCGCCAGTACAGGAGGCGCATGCTAGAACTATTGGACATATTTTTAGTGGTAGGGGAAACCGGAGTACCCGGAGGAAACCTACGCAGACACGGGGAGAACATGCAAACTCCACTCAGAAAGGCCCTGGTCCGACTGGGATTCGAACCCAGGACCTTCTTGCTGAGAGGCGAGAGTGCTATCCACTCAGCCACCGTGCCGCCACAGTGGTGGGAAGCTGTTGCTTACGCCAGTGGTTCCACTTTTTAACCACCACCAAAGCAATTTAAGTAACCTGTATTTTGTGATACACTTTAGAATACTAAGTAGGAAAAAGCAGCACAAGATTTTGGATGTGCTATCGCTTACTTAGTAATACTCTGAGGCCACAGTATTGGCTCAGACACATCCAGATGTATGAGTTCCCCAGAAAACTACACTTAAAGAGCAATAACATTGCATGTTCACATTGCCCTTAATAATATTGTTCCTATTAAGATTAATTCCCCTTTTTATTCGATAAATTATATTTTACAAAGAAGTCTGTTATAGTGCCATATCAACTGCCCTGATTGAAAATATTTTGGTAAGATCATTAGAATGACTGGCCTAAGGCAAACTATATTAACTTGAATAAAGATAAATGCGGCTTGAAATCACAACACAAAATCCCATTTAACATGAATAATGTTTGTGTTAAAAAAATAAAAAAATATAAAAAAATTGTGAGAGTGTATGAATGTGGAAAGCAGACCGTTTGAAAGGACACTGCTGATCCACAGGTGCTAAAAGTCTGCAGCCCTCAAATGGTGCATTGTGCTCTTATAACGATAACATCTTTAATTGTGGCCACTGGGGGTCACTAGATATCACTGATTATTATCTCTGTACCCTCCCTACCATTTTCAAATTAAAACATGCATAATGAACACAAATATTACACTGAACCTTCAAATATGAGCGTCTTTCCGATATATTGGACTGATTACTATGTTTGAAAGGTGAATTTGAGTTTCACGCCTCATTGGAGAAGAACATTGGGTCTTTGGGTTGGTCCCACAGAGGACACCTCCAGCGGCAGCCATCTTGGAAATGGCGATATTGCACTGGCATGGTATGTTTTTGTCTACGGGCAACCATTTGGTTTGAGATGATAACCTGAAAATGATGCTCTGGCTTTCGCTTTGAGTCTGTCCCACTTCCACATCGCTGTGCCGCGCCTTGCCAGCCATGCAAATAAGCTCATTTACAAAAGGGGAAAAACACAAATGAGTGGGAAAATGGTTGAACATCCAGTCAAAAAGGGTGCCTCCCTACATCCTCCTTCTCTGCCTCGTGCCCCATCCCTCCATACCCTGCCCAGCTCATTTGAATAAATTAACACCCCCTGATGCTCAATGTCTATGTAAGTGCACGCTCATGTAATATTCACATGTATGCAGGCAGTCACACCTTTGAGGAGGAAATACAATAAACACATGCTCTCTCATTATGTGACAAAACGTATTTGGCTCCACGCTAATGTTTGTGCGGAATATTTGTTACTTAGACTGGCCCAATATATTTCCTTTTTAACCAGACAGGTTGGCATTATAAATTGTGTTTTATCTTCACCTGTTTTTGATGTATTATTTTTTTCCACAATTCTGACTTTTATAATGTATGTCTACTATGATGTTGATGGCATGTAGTTATGCTATGTTGTACTGATCCCCTGAACACGAACATGGACATAAACTTTTCACTGTTTCTATCTGGCTATTGCCCCTCCCCCTCATTCTTTGTGTATGTTATCACTTTCTTCAATAATCAGTCAATAATCCTCATCTTCAATCAACAAACTCACACTCCTCTTCTTTCTTCTGTATCCGCAGGCTTCAGTAGGATTTGGCAGAACAAGTCACATGGCTGAACTTTGGTTGTTGTTTGGTTAGAGGTGATTTCTAAAATTAATTTAAAAGTCTTTTTTATCTCTTCCTCTTTCTGAATGTGTTTTCAATATTGCCCACCTCTATGTCCAGAGTTATTGTGGCCGACTCTGAGTTAGTGGCTCTTCAGACGCTGGGCCGGCGCACTGTCTGTCAGGGTCCATGACTATCACTATCTGACATAGAGAACAACCTGCTTTGTGCTGTCAAGCCCACTCACATCAGCTCTTTAACCAGCTCAACCCTGACACTCACTTTATGTTTTACTGTAAAGGGCAGCAGTGCTGAGAGCAACTTCACTTTGTGAAGAGTAAAGATGAATGCAAAGAAAGGCTGTGGGCGCAGTTTGAATTAAATTCATCCAAATAAATATAAATACATTTTAGAGAAGAGACTATATTTTTTCTGAGCATAATGCGTGACTGTTGGTTGTATGTACACAATGTGCTCTGAAACATGTCAAAGAAAAATACATTACCTTAAACAACCAAGAACTCAAATACATTCATTTTGGATAGAAGCCATTTGCAAATGCAATTGCCTTAAGACAATTTAGTGTATTTAAAGTTGTACTTTGTAACAGTCTGTCACCATGGTGAAGCTATTGCTTTACCTCAGGGGTATCCAAACATTTCGTATATACAAATTAAGTTGATGCCTAGATTCCAAAGGGACTGAGCTTTAAATTCAAGGTATATCCTAACTATATTGGTGGAGCTGAAGTTGGCTGGATTGCACTATGAAAGTACCTCGAGCGCTACTTTAAATTTGCAAGGCACAGGACCACATAAAATGACACAGTGGGCCGCATTTGGCTCGTGGGCCTTAGTTTGGACACCCCTGCTCCACCTGTAATGACTCCATCTTGCATTTTGTTGAAGTTGTTCGGCTTGCCGCCAGCTGTGTAACTTTGTCTGGTGGTATCATCATGTCTCAAAGAAGATTCCATGAAGTTGGATGCCATTCTTCACAGAATGTTCTTTTCCCTAATTTATCCTGGAATGATAGAAGTAGAAAAAGTTTCCAAATTAAACATCTAGACTACATTTTCATTACATGCAATAATGTATATTTACAAAAAAAATCATCCTTTTTTTTCAGTCAATGTCAAAAAAGTACTATTTAAGTTAGTTAACTTTCTGCACATATTTTCTATGTGTTCTTTTTACACAATGAACTATTTATTTTTGTTTGAGTTTCCAAGTGACCGGAACGACCTGATTTGCAAGTAAAATGCACGTGTTTAACTCCGCGGCGTCCATGGAGAAGGACTTGAGCAGCGCTCAGGTCTGTGCTCAGGTCTGTCCTCAGGTCTGTGATCAGGTCTGTGCTCAGGTCTGTGCTCAGGTCTGTGCTCAGCTCTGTGCTCAGGTCTGTGCTCAGGTCTGTGCTCAGGTCTGTGCTCAGGTCTGTGCTCAGGTCTGTCCTCAGGTCTGTGCTCAGGTCTGTGCTCAGGTCTGTGCTCAGGTCTGTGCTCAGGTCTGTGCTCAGGTCTGTGCTCAGGTCTGTGCTCAGGTCTGTCCTCAGGTCTGTGCTCAGGTCTGTGCTCAGGTCTGTGCTCAGGTCTGTGCTCAGCTCGGTGCTCAGGTCTGTGCTCAGGTCTGTGCTCAGGTCTGTGCTCAGGTCTGTGCTCAGCTCGGTGCTCAGCTCTGTGCTCAGGTCTGTCCTCAGCTCTGTGCTCAGGTCTGTGCTCAGGTCTGTGCTCAGGTCTGTCCTCAGCTCTGTGCTCAGGTCTGTGCTCAGGTCTGTCCTCAGCTCTGTGCTCAGGTCTGTGCTCAGCTCGGTGCTCAGCTCTGTGTTCAGCTCGGTGCTCAGGTCTGTGCTCAGGTCTGTGCTCAGCTCGGTGCTCAGGTCTGTGTTCAGCTCGGTGCTCAGGTCTGTGCTCAGCTCGGTGCTCAGCTCTGTGCTCAGGTCTGTCCTCAGCTCTGTGCTCAGGTCTGTGCTCAGCTCGGTGCTCAGCTCTGTGTTCAGCTCGGTGCTCAGGTCTGTGCTCAGGTCTGTGCTCAGCTCGGTGCTCAGGTCTGTGTTCAGCTCGGTGCTCAGGTCTGTGCTCAGGTCTGTGTTCAGCTCGGTGCTCAGGTCTGTGCTCAGGTCTGTGCTCAGCTCGGTGCTCAGCTCGGTGCTCAGGTCTGTGCTCAGGTCTGTGTTCAGCTCGGTGCTCAGGTCTGTGCTCAGGTCTGTGCTCAGCTCTGTGCTCAGGTCTGTGCTCAGCTCGGTGCTCAGGTCTGTGCTCAGGTCTGTGCTCAGGTCTGTGCTCAGGTCTGTGCTCAGGTCTGTCCTCAGCTCTGTGCTCAGCTCGGTGCTCAGCTCTGTGTTCAGCTCGGTGCTCAGGTCTGTGCTCAGGTCTGTGCTCAGCTCGGTGCTCAGGTCTGTGCTCAGCTCGGTGCTCAGGTCTGTGCTCAGCTCGGTGCTCAGGTCTGTGCTCAGCTCGGTGCTCAGGTCTGTGCTCAGGTCTGTGTTCAGCTCGGTGCTCAGGTCTGTGCTCAGGTCTGTGCTCAGGTCTGTGCTCAGCTCTGTGCTCAGCTCGGTGCTCAGGTCTGTGCTCAGCTCGGTGCTCAGGTCTGTGCTCAGCTCGGTGCTCAGGTCTGTGCTCAGGTCTGTGCTCAGGTCTGTGCTCAGCTCGGTGCTCAGGTCTGTGCTCAGCTCGGTGCTCAGGTCTGTGCTCAGGTCTGTGCTCAGCTCGGTGCTCAGGTCTGTGCTCAGGTCTGTGCTCAGGTCTGTGCTCAGCTCGGTGCTCAGGTCTGTGCTCAGCTCGGTGCTCAGGTCTGTGCTCAGGTCTGTGTTCAGCTCGGTGCTCAGGTCTGTGCTCAGGTCTGTGCTCAGGTCTGTGCTCAGCTCGGTGCTCAGGTCTGTGCTCAGGTCTGTGCTCAGCTCGGTGCTCAGGTCTGTGCTCAGTTCTGTGTTCAGCTCGGTGCTCAGGTCTGTGCTCAGCTCGGTGCTCAGGTCTGTGCTCAGGTCTGTGCTCAGGTCTGTGCTCAGCTCGTGTGCTCAGGTCTGTGCTCAGGTCTGTGCTCAGCTCGGTGCTCAGGTCTGTGCTCAGGTCTGTGCTCAGCTCGGTGCTCAGGTCTGTGCTCAGGTCTGTGCTCAGCTCGGTGCTCAGGTCTGTGCTCAGCTCGGTGCTCAGGTCTGTGCTCAGGTCTGTGCTCAGCTCGGTGCTCAGGTCTGTGCTCAGCTCGGTGCTCAGGTCTGTGCTCAGGTCTGTGCTCAGGTCTGTGCTCAGCTCGGTGCTCAGGTCTGTGCTCAGGTCTGTGCTCAGCTCGGTGCTCAGGTCTGTGTTCAGCTCGGTGCTCAGGTCTGTGCTCAGGTCTGTGTTCAGCTCGGTGCTCAGGTCTGTGCTCAGCTCGGTGCTCAGGTCTGTGCTCAGGTCTGTGCTCAGCTCGGTGCTCAGCTCTGTGCTCAGGTCTGTGCTCAGCTCGGTGCTCAGCTCTGTGCTCAGCTCGGTGCTCAGGTCTGTGCTCAGGTCTGTGCTCAGGTCTGTGCTCAGCTCGGTGCTCAGGTCTGTGCTCAGGTCTGTGCTCAGCTCGGTGCTCAGGTCTGTGTTCAGCTCGGTGCTCAGGTCTGTGCTCAGGTCTGTGTTCAGCTCGGTGCTCAGGTCTGTGCTCAGGTCTGTGTTCAGCTCGGTGCTCAGGTCTGTGCTCAGGTCTGTGCTCAGCTCGGTGCTCAGCTCTGTGCTCAGCTCTCCAGAGCGTGTGCGGGGTGGGGCCACGGCTGCCTGTCCCGGTAAGGGGAGGAGAGAAGAGAGGCAGAGGCGGTACTTTTCTCCGCGGCTCGTTTCGCGGCGCTGGAGACTGCGGGACCAGGGCTGGAAAGACAGCCGGGGAGAATCAGCACACCCAGCACAGTCCTGACCCCCTCCCCTGCTCCGTGCTCTCTTTTTGTGGACTGCACAACATTCCTATGAAATATAACTGCTTTTAATGGCATGTGGCTTGTAACTTTACTTCTGCTGTATTCTTTACACAAAGGTAGGTGAAACTTCCCTAATTATCTTTTCAAGACTTGGCGTGATATTTAAGTTATTGAAACTCTTGCACATAATGTTTTATATTAGAACAAGGCTTGGGAGTGCGCATTCATAGATTCATGGGTTATCACAATTATAATAACATCAGCCAATTATGGGTTTTTTCTTCCCCAAAACGATGTATATCTAGTATCAAAACAGAACTAGTCTATGTGATTGTAGTGGACGTCTTGCATGTTGTAAAAAACGAGAGAAAAAGCTTTGGTTCAAATGGGTAAAATCGATGTATTTGTGTTTTGCATAATGAATGTGAGACCTCGTGAATATGGAGGCTGCTGAATAGGAGAGGCTGATAAGAATCTGCAGGCGCGCACGGAGAGACTGGTCACCTCACGCACTGACTTTGGACATAAGCCGATTGTTTGTCCAAAAATCTCACAAGTTTCAGCAAACTTTAACACACATGGAAACATGAAATCTTGTTAAGTGATGTCATTCAGGATGTCAGTTATAATTGGGAGGAGGTCCTCACAGGTACGCCCTATAGTGACTTAAAACAATGTGAAACATACCCACACATGAGAAGCACACGTATGTGATGAGAAAAGATTGATGGAGGGTGCTTAAATTGATGACAGGGACACAGCTTTTAATAGAGATAATACGTCCCAATTGGATGTTTAAATACGTGCTCGTATATTACATCTGATGTCCACGATTATATGTTGTAATAGTAAGTGTATGGCGCATAGTCAGTTGTTATCTTGCTCGATCTAATTATTCATCCACCATTTTCTGTGGCACCGGATTGCACTGATTGGCTTCTCTCTAAATACTGCGGAAGAGGGAGAAGTGTTCTTTTGCCCCGGAATATTGTTGTGCTGTCCTTGCTATTTGGTATTCATAATACAGTATTTGAAGTGGTTATTGTCTTTCCGTATACATTGAGCTGATCATTATTATGTGTTGTATTGCTCATTTTCTCATACTTCTGTGGTACAAGTGTGACTGTGACGCCCTGATCGCTGCGCTTGGCCTTGGCAGTGCCCTCTGCCAGTCTGCAGTTGTTTTGTTCTTTGAAATAAAAGCTGTAGAGTAAATGAGTTACAATCATAGACGCCATTTATTGACTTAACGTATCCCAAAGAACATTTAACCTAAATGGTGTCCTAAAGTAGACCAGTAGGTTTATTGTGGGTGATGGCAGTGAAAACAACACTTATTTATTTTTTATTTGTCCGCCCTGTTACATTTGTGATTCCTTGTGTTTTTACGTTTACTTAGGACTGATAATTAATGAATTATTAATTAAGTTAATGTTGACACTGCTGCTGCGGAATTTCTGTCTGGATTTTGCGTATCTGTTTTTGCGTATATGTGCTTTAGATAGTGGAAAGATTTTCAAGTGTTAAGAATGGCCTATTTTTTAGTGAAATATGGAGTGAATTAGTGGGTGAGTGTGTGAGTGGGTGTGCGTGTGTGTGTGTGTGTGTGCGTGTGCGTGTATGTAGTCCGCTCTGGCTTCAGGGAGGCGGCAGCACACCTATGAGAGCGTGAATGAGCAGTGCTGTCTACGTGTCATCTGTACAGAGAGGAAATGTAACGCTTCACACGACTAAATGAAATCTTGCTAGACACGACTAAATTAAATGTTTTAGGCCTCAAAGGCCACACACACAGGCCTGGAGAGTTTGACGTGTTACTGCTGTGAGCAGAGAAGCCGCGCACCTTCGTAAGGGCACCAGTCAGGTGTTGACTGTCCACATTACGCTGGGACACTAGTATCGTTTCTTTGGAGTTGGCCATGCTTTAATTATTTCATCAATCAGTTTAATTCTGGTCTGATCCAGTTCAAGTCACCGGGCCTTTTTTCAACAGTGAGCATGGTGTGCTGTGTGCTGTTATTGCCTTTTAACACACACCCAATGACAGCGCTGTGAAGTGACGCTCTTGGGCCCAGACAGCCAAACATGTGCTTGCAACACAGTAGATGCGTCCAATTTTTTGATGATTATCAATGCATTCTTTTGTTTAGCAGTTATATGGGCCTATTTCACTTCGTAAAGACTTGTTTTTTCCAATGACATGACGTGAGAAACGTGTGTGCAGCAGTTATGATGGAGTAGACTGTCAAATTCTTAGCGGTTTGTGAGTTTGTCTCGCAACTTTTAAGTCCCAGGTTTCGTTTTCGTGGTGTTTTGTTTTTAGTGTTCTCAGGAAACGTGTCACGTGAACGTGAATTGACGCATCAAAGACGATAAAGAGGACTGTTGGTTTTCATCTGTCCCTAAACAAAGGGAGGGTAGAATATGGCCAACATATTGATCCCTATTGCCCTTTGACTTGACCAAACCGCTTACTTTAGATTCTAAAGTGAATAGGAAAACAAGCGCAAGATATTTTTTATAGTTGAATTGCAGCTTGGGTATAGCATAAATCTTTTGGGAAACCCTGCGTTCACAGAGGAAGACCTGACAGCATTACTTTCATGGTTTATATTTCGTGCACTCTCCTCGAAGGGCATGTTGTGGCGCTCTCCATGGTGCTGAAAGCGCAAATACTTCAAACTTACAGTAGGTGTCCTTGATTGACACAGATAAATAATAGAAAGAGTTGAGTTGGCCTGAATTAGGTTGTTTGAAAACCAAGGATATGCTCCTGTTCTTGTTGCTGCGTGACACAACCACTACAGCAGTCTGGCATCAATCTGTAAAGCACATGTTGTTGTCCTACTACTACTACTACTATTGCTACTACATCTTCTATGAAACCCTTTTTATAAAACTTATCTTGACACTCGTAGGTGTTTCTCAATTTAACACAGACACCCATTGAAGCACAACAGTTAGAACTTATTTGAAGGATATTAGGAGGATTTGCAAATGAACAAACTTCACATCTCTCAGAACGATCAGGAAAGTGTGACCATGTGTTGTTACTTGTTTAATTATAACTTTGATTCCATAATGTTTATGTCTTCTACTCATTATGGGAATGCAACTTGGAAATTCATTATTTACACATTTATTGTGGTGATATAAGGCTCTCTAAACCTTAATGAATTTGTAATTGCTGAAACCCTAGTACATGAGCATTATAGAGAAGGAACTAAATCAGGCTTTGTTGACATAATACAGTAAAAGGGATTAATTAAGTACCATTGTCTGAAAAGAATTTTCCCAGCTCAGGGCATAGTGTCTTCCCTTGGCCCACAGCCAAGCTTAGCTCAGCACTTCTTAATACTCCTCTACACCCCCCATGCCTTCTTAACCTCAGTGAACACATGCACAAGCCCACTGTTCCCTAATGTGTTTCTTTAAAAGGAACTAGAGCTGCTATTATGACAGAGTATCATTTTCGTCTTAAAACATGGCATTATCTAAGGCTGTTTAGAAACAAATGCTATGTTAGAAATAAAAGTCTTATCAAACTTATTGCTGTTTTCTCTTTTTAAAAACAGTTATGAACCAAACATGAGGGGTGCGATTTAGCAGGTCATGTGAGCCTTCATTCTTCAGCGGGTGCACAGCAGCAAAGAGGTCCCTCGACACGTATTAGATGAGACAGATTAGGTTATACACAGAATAAGATGGATAGAAGCCATTTGGAGGAGAGCAGAAGTACCCTAAAGCTAGTTGTTGCTTCACTGTAACTGTACAGTAGCACTCATAAACCAGTAATAGATCATATTTATATTTTTAAAGCATTTGACATATGGACAACACCTTCACCTAAATTAATCCTTCTCTCTTTCCCTTTTTTATCAACAGTTAAGAGTGAGGATGTTATTTCTACGCGACTGTACTTTGTGAACGCCTCCCTGCAGCGGGTGACCTTCTCCAGCTCAGTGGGGGTGTCCCTGCCCTGCCCCGCGGGCGGCGCCCCCCATGCCGTCCTGCGTTGGTACCTGGCTGCCGGAGACGACATTTACGATGTACCCCATATCCGGCACGTGCATGCCAACGGCACCCTCCAGCTCTACCCCTTCTCTCCCTCTGCCTATAACAGCATTATCCATGACAATGAATATTTCTGCACGGCTGAGAACCAGGCAGGCAAGATTCGCAGCCCCAGCATTCACATCAAAGCAGGTGAGCAACCAATGTTTCTTTGACTTTTTTGTTTAAGCTGTCAGTGGAACATAAGATTAAGTCGTGACTAGACTGCTTTAGGTTGATTAGACTGAATATCAAATTAAACACAAAGGAACTAATACAAATAATAAGATAATAATAATATGGCTTGACGTTGTTCTACAATTCTCTCAATTTAACTTACTATATGACACTGTTGAATAGATAAAGAGTGGTTGATGCTGCTGAGTATCCTGCCAGAGGGCAGCTGTGGCTGCAGTACAGGTATCTGGTACACCTCTGAGTTGGAGAAAGATTGCACAGAAAAAAGATTCTTATTCTTGAGTATGCTTTTTATTTGATCGTTATTTTTTTTTGGCAATGATCATGGATACAATTACATTGACATTATTATGATTTATAAAGAAATGTATTTGATTTGAAAAAAACAAAAAAACAAACATACATTGTTATTACTGGTGTTTTATTGTCTGAAGTTGCAAACTGAACAAAACAATTTACATTTTCTGGACGTAATCTGAAATGGCCATTTACAGTTTTTACATGTTGACCTTGTGTACGGGGACACAGAAAATATATGTGATTTGACATTATTTGAAGAACTGCTCCTTTAATGCCACCACTTTCTAAACACGTTGTCACCCTTTTTACATGAATGAGCCATTTAGCCAACTTTAGCTACTTGTCTATTCATAAAGAAATCCATACTGTACATCCATCTCAGTATAGCAACATAAAGTAGTAATATAATGTGCTTAAAATATTCTTTTAGGGCAAAGAGGTATTATGAAATAGCAATTTAAATCTCCAGACCTGAATTTGATTGTGTATGTATTTCATTTGCTGAAGACAACTGAATCCCCTTGAACAAAAAAGGCCTGGTCACTGTGCCTTCCAGACATCAGGCTGTAAAAGATATCCAAAAGATTAGCAACAACGTATTTTAAAGGCACACTGCAAAGTTATTGTGATTCTTAAGATGCAATATTTGGATATAATATCTTAAAATGTAATCTCAAAATCCACTTTCTTTCTTCTTATAGTGGCTTTCCCTTGTCATTTACGCACACAGCTGTTTTCAGTACTATTCATGCATGTTTGAGTTATTCATATGTTCATCTACACAGCTCTCCTCAGTCCTCTGACTGTCTTTCTTTGGCAATTTTCTTTTGTAAATCCATGATATGTGGAGGATCCACTCGCCTTAAATTCTCATTTCTGCATGAAAGACAAAAACATAATCACATCTCAACTTTGTCTGTGGAGGGGATGTGAGTACGTTCCACTGATGCTCCAACAAGGGCACAAGGGGACTTCAGGAGGAGCTACGCGACTCGTTCCTTTTATGACATAGATTTAGCTCATTCTAAACATTTCATACGAAGCATATGTTTAATAAAGAGCCAGGGGTCATATATTCTCAAATCATAGGGAACAGAATCAGGTTGTGTACCCTTTAAAGCTTATAAATGTGTAAAGCGGTTAAATGTGTAAATCCACTGCTGTGTTGAACAGTCTCAAAAATATGAGATTTTCATCAATATCCCATTTTGAAAATGTCCCAATATCTGTGTACATGATGAGTATAACTTCTATCGGTGACACCTGCGGATCAATACATATTTATTTGTATATTTTAAATGCACAATGTTATAAAAGAAAAGTCTTCCCACCTCCACATGTCCTGGAACACTACCAAATGAAGAGTTAAATATCTCTGTTTTTAAAATGTGTCAAAACGGAATACAAAAAGTCATAATCTTAAAGTTAAAATCTTTAACATGTTTTGTCATTGTCAATACATTTAAAGACTTTGTTCAAGAAAGTGCAAAACTTTATTTGTATGCACCAAAATAGCACACAAGCCTTTCAAATATGTTTTCTAATGGCACTTATCTCTTTTTGTAAATTAACAATTTTAATATTGACGCACACGGCTTTTGAGATACTAAACATTTTGAAAGCACAAATGTACATACGCTGCAAAAAGACATATGATTAATTTCTTTCCAAGCAGTCTGAAAATAAACACGTGACTTTCGAGAAAGAAATGTAAATAATTTTGAAGAATCATTACCTCTCTCAATATTGTGGTCTTGAGTCAGTCTAAGAACTAGTGCACAGCGATAGTAGAAACATTAAAGGTTCTTCTTTTGGCTGGACATGACGTCAATGACACTAAAAGTGTCACCAGGGCAATGAAGGAAAATAGGAATTTATGGATTTACACAGCTGCTAAGGTCACATGACCAATCAATGTAAACATGACTACTTATCATACATCAATGGTCATACCAGTACAGATCCAGACATGACTCTGATCTGTTTAGGATCAGTCCAGGTTCAGACCCAAAGTTTAACTGTATGATACCCAGGAGCTTCTCCTGGGTCTGACAGAACCCATCAGACTTCTGGAAGACCTCAGAACTCCAAGCAGGGCACATTGCCTTGAAGGAGTCTGGTGTAAGCGTGAATGATTGATGGTGGTCGAAGAAGCCGATGGCACATATTGGTTGCCTCACTTCTGTCAATCTGCTCCAGGGCAGCTGTAGCTACAGTAGTAGTGCATATAAAATTGATTAGGAGCGCGTTATTGCCCTTGAAATGCCCTAGTTGTGTTTTGCAGGAGAAGTCACTGCATGTGTTATCAGGGGTGGTTAAAGCAGCGCTCTGACTGGTCATGAGTTTTACTCTGGACGGCTGACCCCAGTG